ACCTCCGTAAGGTCACCCCTTAGACTCCTACGCTCCACGGAAAATAGCCCCAGTCTATTCAGCCTCTCCCCATAGCTCAAACCCTGGCGACATCCTTTTCAATCTTTTCTGAACCCTGTCAAGTTTCACAACATCCTTCCTAATAGCAAGGACACCAGAACTGCATGCAGTATTCCAACAGTGGCCTAACCAATGTCCTGTACAGTCGCAACTTGACCTCCCAACTCGTATACTCACTGCACTGTCCAATAAAGGCAAGCATATAAAATGCCATCTTCACTATCCTGTCTACCTGTGACTCCACTTTCAACGAACTATGATCCTGCAGTCCAAGGTCTCTTTGTTCAGCGACAATTCTGTCCCTCAGGGTTCCCTCTAACATCTTGCCCGCTACCAATGTCAAGCTCACCGGTCTATAGTTCCCTGGCTTTTCCTTACCACCTTTCTTAAATAGTGGCATCATGTTAGCCCCAACCTCCAGTCTTCTGGCACCTCACCTATGATGCAAATATCTCAACGAGGGGCCCAGCAATCTCTTTCCCAGCCTCCCACAGAATTATAGTGTACACCTCATCTGGTCCCAGGGATTTATCCACTTTTATGCATTTTAAGACATCCTGCACTTCCTCCTCTGCAATATGGACATTTTTCAAGATGTCACTATTTATTTCCCCATGTTCTCTATCTTCCATGTCCTTCTTCACATTAAGCACTAATACAAAATACTCATTTAGTATCTACCCCAACTCCTGTGGTTCCACACATAGGCAGCCTTGCTGATCTTTAATGGGCCCTGTTCTCTCCCCATTTACCCTTTTGTCCTTAATATCCTTACCAATCTGCTAGCTGCAGATGCATCTTTACTTGTCAGTAATTGACAACAGTGACCATTGCAAGGTCCTTGTGCTTAACTTCATATTGAGAATACCTTCCATCGTACTGGTGGTACTATCACCGTGATAAATGGGACAGACTTTGAACAGATCTAGCAACTTAAGACTGGGCATCCATGAGGTGCTGTGAGTCATCATCAGCAGCAGAATTGTACTCCAGAACAATCTGCAACCTTGTGGCTGGGTATATGGCCACTCAACGATTGCCATCAAGTTAGGGATCAACCTTGGTTCAATGCTGAGTGCAAGAGGGCAATGCCAGGAACAGCACCAGGCATACCTAAAAATGAGGTATCAACCTGGTAAAGCTACCAACAGGACTATATGCATGCCAAAGAGCATAAGTAGCAAGTGATAGACATAGCTAAGCAATCCAACAACCAACAGACCTGATCTAAGCTCCGCAGTCCTGCCACATCCACTCGTGAATAATGGTGGACAATTAAACAACTCACTGCAGGAGGATGCTTCACAAACATCGCCATCCTCAATGATAGAAGTGCCTAACACATCAGTGAAAAACATAAGACTGAAGCATTCACAGCAAATTTTAGCTCGAAAGTGCCAACTGGATGATCCATCTCAGTCTCCTCCAGTGGTTTCCAGCATGACAAATACTTCAGCCAATTCAATTCACTTTACGTGATATCAAGAAACAATTGGGGGTTACTGGGTACTGCAAAGGCAACAGGCCCTGACAACATTCTGCCATTAGTACTGAAGACTTGTGCTCCAGAACTTGCCACTCCCCTAGCCAAGCTCTTCCGATATACTTTAAAAACTGGCATCTACCCAATGTGGAAAAATTGCCCAGATATGTTTTGTACTCAAAAAGCAGGATAAATCTAAACCAGCCACCTAACATCCGATCAGTCTACTCTTGATCTGCCGTGAAATGATGGAAGGCATCATCAATAGCGCTAACAAGCAGCACGTGCTCAGCTATAACCTAATCACTGTTGGCCAGTTTGAGTTCCATTAGGGTCACTCAACTCCTGCTCTCATTACAGCCTTGATTCAAACAGGGATAAGACAGCTGAATTCTAGAGATTAGGGAAGAGTGACAACCCTTGACATCAAGACAGCAATCAACCCAGTGCAGCAATCAAAGAAGCCTAGCAAAACTGGAATCAATAGGTATTGGGGGCAAACTCTCCACTGGCTAGAGTCATGCACGGCAACTTGGAAGATACTCATGGTTGTTGGAGGTCAGTCATCTCAGTTCCAGGACATCTTTGCAGGAGTTCCTCAGATTGTGTCCTAGGCACAATCATCTTTAGCTGTTTCATGTTTGACTTTCCCTCCATCATAAGGTCAGAAATGGGGATGTTCATGCACAACATTCATCACCATTCATGACATCCCCCACTATCTACATCCTTGGGGTTACCATTGACCAGAAACTCAACTGGATTCTCCACATATACAAGTGACTACAAGAGCAGGTCAGAGATTAGGAATATAATTGCAAGTAACTCACTTCCTGAATCTCCAAAATCTGTCCACCACCTACAAGTCAGAAATGCGATTGAATACTTCCCGCTTGCCTGGATGGGTGCAGCTCCAAAAATACTCAGGAAGCTTGACAACATCCAAGACAAAGCAGACTGCTTGATTGGCACCACATCTGTCTCCTCTACTACCAAAGCAGTGTGTACTACCAACAAGATGCACTGCAAAAATTCACCAAAGATCCTTAAAAAGCACCTTCCAAACCCTGACCACTTCCATCTTGAAATACAAGGGCAGCAGATACATGGGAACACCACCACCTGCAAAAGCACCTCCAGGCCTCGCACCATCCTGACTTAGAAATATATTGCCATTCCTTCACTGTTGCTAGGTCAAAATCCTGGAATTCTGACCACATTCCCCCTGGTTCCCTGCCAAGGGCATTGTGGGTCAACCTATAGCATGTGGACTGCAGTAGTTTAAGAAGGCCACTCACCACTAGGGATGGTGTGGCGATGCTGTCACTTTAAAGGGTTATTTTGTCCTCAGCATTTTTGAGGAGAGGTAGTAAAGGCAGAGGTACCAAAATGGCTACTGAAGGCAGCTTATGTAAACCATGTGTGAGAACTTTAGGTCTTTTTTGAAAAAGTTGGAACAATAAAAACAATCTGAATGGGTGTGGCCAGCTCTCACAGATCAAGATTGCTGGGTTTTGTATTTTTTTCAGCAGTCAGAAGCTGTTTGGGATCTCAAAAGAGTTGGAAGCTTCAATGAATTATTCCTAGCTACTACTTTCTGTGGAATCTCTCTTGATGCTTTTCCCTCCTGGAATGGAGAACTGCATGTAAGAATCTGTGTCTGTATTTGCCTTTTTGCCAATGAGTGTATTTATAGGATCTTACGATATTGGAACAGTTAATTAGTAATAGGTACTGTAACTATTTTTTGATTAAGTTTTCCAATGGTTAATTTATTCTAAATTCCTCTTTCTTTTGCTTGCATTTTACTATAGTGTTTAAATAAATTGTGCTTTGCTCAACACTCAGTAGTTTGACCAGTCGCATCATATGCATCTTTAAAATAAGAAAAAAAAAACTAGGGTCTGGGCTACATACTTAAAATATTTTGAGGGTGTTTGGTCCATAACAATTGTTGGCGAGCCAGTGATGTCCACATTTCACAAGTGAATAAAACAAAAACAAAAAACTGATTCAGCCAACCTTCCATTATCAAATAATGATAGAAATGTCCTTAAGTATTCTGGAACTAGCTAGCAATAGGTCAACACTGATACTGTCTCTAATTTACCTCTGGCACAGAGGCACAAGGGCACCAAGATACCTCACTGCTATTCACTTTACTTCTTACTTCAGCCAAGGGCACATTCAGAAGTATATGGTTTGGAGGCACATACCATAAAGTTCAACTAAGGGGCAACACTGTACACATCTGTGTCATATTTCAAGGGTTAACTAAAACTGAACTACAAAGTGATAATAAGTGATTATTTATCAAATTGAAGTATTTCCTCATATTTTATTGTGTGAAGTAGAATAAGATAATTGGTGAGAAATTGTATGGCACATATGGATCTGGTCTGAATGTATGACTGGAGCTAATGTTTTACGTAGCAAGTGTAAAGGGAACATATGTAAAGTAGGTTGCAGTGGGGATGAGGTTTGCTGGAGGTGGGAGAAGGGGTCTGCAGAGGGTGGATTAGATTCCTGGTCAAAGAAATAGGTGCAGAGGCAGGAAGAAGGGGTGATGAGGTTTGCTGAAAGCGGGAGAAGGCCCCGACCTGAAACGTCAACTTTCCTACTCCTCTTATGCTGCCTGACCTGCTATGTCCCTGCAGCTGCACACTATGTCGTCTCATATGTACAGTAGCTGTTGCGCATTAGATGTTTCAGGTGCTTCAACACGTGCTTTTATGATATTTCACCTCACAACACTTGTGCAAATGTTCGATGATGTAAAACAAATATAAAAAGACACGTCTTTGGTTAATATAGTCTTCTGTATTTATTGTCATTAACCTAGCGTTACTTCATGGTAGAGTTCTTTTGCAGCTTAAAACATTCAACAAACCAAAGTCCTAAGGGTGTCCTTTTGAGCAGATCACAGATTCACAGAATCCCTACAGTGTGGAAAGAGGCCATTTGGCCCATCGAGTTTACACCAACACTCCGAAGAGCACCCCACTCAGACCTAGCTCCCCTACTCTGTTGCTGTGATCCCATATTTACTGTGGCTAATCCATGAAATCTGCACATCTCTGGACTGTAGAAGAAAACCAGAACACCTGGAGGAAACCCACGCAGACAGGGGGAGAATGCCTGGGTGGAGTTTGCACAGTCATACAAGGCTGGAATCAAACCCCCACGTTGCCACTGTAAGGCAGCAGTGCTAACCACTGAGCCACCGTGCCACTTAGAATGGAAACATGGAAACATGGATGAAATGGACAGAAATCGATGAGGTCCTTCTTTAAGTATGCCAATCATATTCCAAACATGACATGAAATAAATTCTTGTTCAAAGATAATATTTGGCTTAAAATAGGGATTTCCATTTTCTATAGTAACCTTAACACAATATTATAAAAACGTACAGTTCAGCAGAATCTGTGACAGTTGCTGACCTGCCCAAACTCACCTAATATCTCTATCTTTACGCATTAGGGATCCTTTGGCCCTGGCTAGTTCCCTGCGCAGTTGCTTTTGCTCTATGTCTGTCACTTGCAGAAGATCATCCCGTGACTGCAATTCAATTTGTAGCTCTGTAATTTCTGATTCCATTTTCTAGATACACAGAAACAATATTTGGCTCCAGTCACTATCCAGTGCACCAAGATCAATGGTTTCCAATTATTTGCACTTTATACTTCATTTGTTTTACATGGCTGTGCTCTATGTGAAATATGCATTCAAGAAGTGACCATGTTAAGTAAACACAGGAAAGTAGAGTTTGCATTGCAAATTCACAGTCATCACTCTTCACTGAAACCAATGGGTAGAAATAAAATTTCAGAAAGAAAGATTAATATTTTCAGTATTCATTTATAATCATTAATATGCCTTGCCATAAGTGACAGCTTGAGCCACTCATTGCTCTCACTGCCAAATATAAATAACAGCTGCCAGTGACATTATGATTGGGTCGGCCATTTTATGTCTCATTGGAGGCAGGTTGTCTTCTGGCCTTCATGGATATTTACGGCTTATATAGACCATTTGGACCAATACTGGAAGGGTGCGGCATCTCTCTAGTCCCACCCATCCACAGGCCACAACATAAAATAAAAATATTTTCTTCAGTCACAAAGATGACTAATTATGTAACTTATGACATCACACTTTAAACAAGATACATTAACCAAGTTTCTTAATGGTCAAAATTGTGTGTTTATCAAAACAGAATTCATTCAATATAAAATTAGTAAGTGGTTAAAATACATAGGCAGTGTAAAATAAGCTTATCCCTCTAAATATCCTCAAAATTAAAAAAATCAAAGAATGAAATCACCTTGCCAGAACAAAAACTACATAAAATGTCATACATCTAATCAAATGATTAACATCTAAAGTTTATTATACTTTCATAAATCACTGTTCATAACACTTAATCCTTACAATGAGTCTCCTGGGAGATTGGGGTTAGATGTGAATTGTGAAAAACAGCATGGAACATAAATGCAGGGTGCTGTTTGTCAGCCTTCAGAGGTTTTTTGTATTCATTTACAGGTTGTTATATTACTGGCAGTTCACTGTTCACTGCCTCGCCTTTATTGCCCTATAGAAAATTATAGCCCTTGAAGTTGCACTTATTTAGGAAAATGGAGGATATTTCATCATTCTCCTGATTTTTGCTTTGTAAATGGTGAAGAAGTGGTAAGCCAATCACTGCAGAATAGACAAAAATGAGCAGCGCTTGTAGCCGCAATATATACGTGACTTGCTCAGTTAAATTTCTAGCAAATTGTGTGGACGGTTGGCAATTTGGTTATGGGGATTCTATTTCATGCCATGTGGAGGTAGCTAGATTCTCTTGGTGGAGGTGACATTGGCAAGCTACATTTGCCAGGCATTCATCAACCCAAGGCTGAGTGTTGTCACAGTTTTGCTTCATGCGAGTATGCATGAAGTGTGCATAATGCCATGGACATTATGATCGGGTCTGCCATTTTATGTCTCATTGGAGGAAGGCTGTCTTTTGGCCTGTTAAGAAGGATCTCTGACCCTCATGGATTTGAAAGTGTACTGAACACCATAGAATCATCACCAAACATGCACACATCTAGCCTTATGCTGGAGGGAAGGCTCTTGATTAAACAGTTGAAGACAGTTGGGCCAAAGACAATGCTGCAGGAGTTCCTTGGAGCAATGTCCTGGGACTGAAAGAATTAGCCTCTAACAATCACAAGCACTTACTCTATACTAGATATGACTCCATCCATCTAACCAACCCAACAACCATCCAAGATATCAGCACGTTTTAAAATCTGTCTTTACATACATGATTTGGATTTGAATGTAGGAGATATGGTTAGTAAATTTGCAGATAAAATCAAAATTGGTGGTGCAGTAGATGGTGAGGCGGCTACCTCAGAGTACATTGGAACCTTGATCAGCTGGGCTGATGAGCCGAGGAGTGGCAGATGGAGTTTAATCTAGATAAATGTGAGGTGCTACAGTTTGGTAGGGCAATCAGTGTGAGACTTATACACTTAGTGGTAAGGTGCTGGGGAGTTTTGCCGAACAAAGGGACCTTGGAGTGCAGGTTCATAGTTCCTTGAAAGTGGAGTCGCACATAGATACGGTTGTGAAGGCGGCATTTGGTACGTTTGCCTTTATTGGTGAGTGCATTGAGTATAGGAGTTGGGAGGTCATGTTGTGACTGTACAGGTCATTGGTTAGGCCACTTTTGGAATACTGCATTTGATTCTGGTCTCCTTGATGTAGGAAGGATGTTGTGAAACTTGAAAGGGTTCAGAAAAGAGTTATAAGGATGTCGTCAGTGTTGGAAGTTTTGAGGATTTGAGCTACAGGGAGAGGCTGGGGCTATTTTCCCTGGAATGTAGGAGACTGAGAGTTGACCTTATGGAGGTTTACAAAATCATAAGGGACATGGATAGGGTAAATAGACAAGGTCTGTTCCCCAGGATGGAGCAGTCCAAAACTAGAGGGCATAGGTTTAAGGTGAGAGGGGAAAGATTTAAAAGGGACCTAAGAGGCAACCTTTTCATGCAGGTGTGTGTATGGAATGAACTGCCAGGGAAGTGGAGGAGGCTGGTACAATGACAACATTTAAAAGGCATCTGGATAGGTATATGAATTAGGAAGGGATGGGAGGGATATGGGCCTAATGCTGGCAAATGAGACTTGATTAATTTAGGATATCTTGTTGGCATGGACAAGTTGGACCGAAGGGTCTGTTTCTGTGCTGTACATCTTTATGAGTCTTGTGATCATACTAAGTAGGAACACAAGTATCTAGCCTGCTCAATAAGAATGTGGCTGATCTATTTGTGTTCCAAATTCTGCATTTACATCCTCTCCTAATAACTTTTGATTCCTTCGCCTAACAAGAAATTTTCCACCTCTGCCTTAAAAATATTCACCGGCCCCACCTCCGGAAGCATAGCTCCAAAATTGTGCAACCATCATAGAGTCATATAGCACCAAAACAGACCCTTCGGCCCAACCAGTCCATGCTGAACATAATCCCAGGAGAAAGCAAATTTCATCTCAGTTCTGAAAGAGTGAACCTCAGTTTTAAAACATTGTCCTCTAGTTCTGGACTCACTCAAGACGAAACATACTTACTATGTCTACAGTGTCACGTTGTTTAAGTTCTTAATACTACAAACAAGTCACCCTCAGTCTTCTATACTTCAGTGGAAACAAGAAATATAACTGTTACACATATGATATTTTGTTCATTCCAGCTATCAATTTAGTAAACCTCATTTGCATCCTTCATTAAAATGAGGAGACTAAAACAGCACATAGTATTCAGAGTGCAATTTCATCAACCCTAAACATAATTGAAGCATAACATCCTTAAACATTCAATTCCTATTGTAATAAGAGAGCACATTCCGTTATCCTTCTCAATCACTTGCTGTACCTGCAGGTTAACTTTTTGAGAACTCCTATACTATAACACTTAGAAAACAACTGAAGAATTTGACATGCCAAGAGATCCAAGTAAAATTTTGCTTTTTAAGTCTTCCTACCAAAGTGAACAACATCACATTTTCCCACATTATGCTCCATCTGTCAGACTTTTGCCTATTCACTCGACCTATCTATATCCTCTTCACAAAATTGTTTCCTACCTACCTTGTGTCATTTGCAAATCTATTGCTATAAATTGTAACAAACTGAAGCCCTAGCACAGACTTCATTCATCCTGCAGTTTCAGACAAGCTGAAAATAACCTCAAATCTGTTGGAAAATTGCAAGAGCCGAGGATCCTGCATCCCTGCCATCTTGACAGGTCCACTTACTTGCCTCTTTCACAGTCTCACTCTCCTTTGTCTAATCACTGACCAAATGAGAAGACCCTATCCTATGGGGTGTGAATACTTCATGGTACAAGATGTGCAGAGACTTTCTCCCTCTATAGTGTGTTACATTATCTGTAGCCTCCTGGACATAAACTCTGAGCCAAAGCTATTTGAATAGTAAACAATTACTCCAGCGCTGTTTGCCCTGCATCACACTGGTATCGAGCAGGTCCCACATGCTACGACCATGACACATCAACTATCCTGGTATCCTTAATGTGTTTTTTTAATTTCACTACTTAAATAATTTAACTAAATAGCTTCTCTTGTATTTATACATATATATTTAAAAACCTTACCAGTAGTTTCTGTGCTAATTGAAACCTTAGAAAAATAAGCCTTAACCACTGACTAGATACTGACCAATAGCTCACTTCTTCCCTGTAGTAAAGTAAAAACCAGTTCCAAACTGCTAGCATAATAAAAGCAAATTACTTTGGATACTGGACATTTTAAATAAAAAAAACTGGAGAAACTCAGCAGGTGTCGCAGCATCTGTGGAGAGAAAAGCAAAGTTAAATGGAGACATTAAGGACTGCAGATGCTGCAAGCAGGTGAGAGGCTGGAAAAGTACAGAAAAGCAAAGTCCTGATGAAGGGTTTACACCCGAAACATGGACTTACCTGCTCCTCAGATGCTGCCCGACTTGCTGTGTTTTTCTAGTCTCACAAGTTAATGTTTTGATTCCAACATCAGTCTTCTTCTTCAGAAGAGACAAAGAATGACAGTGGACTTAAAAAAATTAATTGTATTTCTCTCTCATGGATGCGGCCTGACCTGACGAGGTTTTATTCCTAACTGCCACTCTGTCTTTAGGTCCTCTTTTCACACACTTTTTCTAACCATAGATGACTGCCTCAGGGCCATCCCTTGGCTTGCCATCAGTGGCAATTCCTTCTGATGCCTCGGCACAAAGCTCTAAATTCCCTCCCTATACCTCTCCTCCTTACACCTCATTTTTCTCCTTTAAGGCCCTTGTTAAAACCTACCTCTTCAATCAAGCCGTTGATCATCTGACTTAATATTTCCTTACATGGCACTGCATCATACTTTGTTTTCTAATGCTCCTATGACACATTGAGACATTTCGTTATATTTAAATCACACCTTTTAACATAAACGGTTCTTGTTCTTGTCGTCCTGCTGGTAGGACAGAACACACCCAGTCATTGTCATGGAGAAATCTGGGACATTGTCAAAGATTAGTTCTATTTGTGTGAATATGCCAGGTTGTTACAGTCTATGGGACACCTTACTCAATTTTCTCACTAATTCCCAGACATTAACAGGGAGAATTTTGCAAGATCTGCTGTACTTAATGTGCTTTTGCTATGTTCAAAGCCAAGTTTGATATTGAGCGGGACACAGCAGGTCAGGCAGCATCAGAGGAGCAGAAAAGTTGACGTTTTGGGTGGGGACCCTTCTTCAGAAATGGGGTCCATTTCTAAAGAAGGGTCCTGACCCGAAACATCAACTTTCCTGCTCCTCTGATGCTGCCTGGCCTGCTGTGTTCCTCCAGTTCCACACTGTGATATCTCTGACTCCAGCATCTGCAGTTCTTGCTATCTTTGATATCGAGTGGACTATCCAGTTTTTCTTATTATTCCTCTTTGCAGCTTTTTCAATGCAACTGAGCTTGCTAGACTATTTCAGAGGGCAATTAAGAGTTAACTCCATTGATAATGGATCTGGAGTCAGATAAAAAGTGAGACCAGGAAAGGACAGCAGTTTTAATTTCCTTAAAGAATAGTAGTGAGCCTCTTGGAATTCTATCACAACCTGGTATCTTCATAGTCACATCCCTGGCATTTTCTTCCAGATTTAGTTAAGTTACTGAGTGTAAATTCCCTAGCTGCTGTGGTGGAACATGAACTCATGCTTGAAGACTATCAGTTAAGGTCTCTAGGTTATATAGTTCGGCAATATAACAACTATGCTGTCAAACACATTTCCATGGCATCAACACAGCAGATATGTCATAAATCAGTGAAAGACATTAAAATAGTATATTGACAACATTTATTTTGACTGCATGCAGAGACCTAATTACATAAATGATTATTGACCTTGCATTTTTCAATAAGTCGCACAGTTAATCTCACTAATTGGAAGTTGGAAATAATGTAAAATACTGTGAAAAACTGGTTTCTGACCAACAATTCTTCAAATGCTATTGGAATGTTTATTTTCTTTTGTTGCTACTGCTTTTAAGAAGTGTAGGAGATACATTTAGTACAATGTTTGCAACATTTTATGACATCGCCAAATACCTGACATCTCCTTTGGTAACATTTAATTTCTTCCGACAGCTTTTGTTGATTCTTCTGGTTTAATTCTTCATTGGTGCTTTTTTGCTCAATAGTAAGCTTCAGCTGTTCGATGATAGTCTCATCACTCTTTATGGTGTCTTGAGCATTCTCCATGCAACTCTTTAAGTACTTTATTTCTGATTCACATAACTCTATCTGCTTCCTGCAATTCCAGTAGGCATCAGAACTTTGTGCCTGTGATTTAAAGCAAAAATCATAAAGTCCTCAGTTAGGATAAAAATACATTTACTTTAAAAGAAATGCTCAGTGATGAACAATGAATTAATTCTCATTTTATCAATCTACGAAAAATGAAGCAAGGTCACCCTCAGATAGCTGGCAAGGACCTTGTACAAGAACAAAAGCTAAATGATGCTTACTGTTGCCTCTGGATTACTAGTCCATTGACAGCACCACTACACCATCACAACCTCCCTACAGATGTTTCAAAAACAAAACCCTCATCATGGCTTTCAAAGGGGAACACTCTTTCCTCACTATCCTTTTTTGATTGTGGTGCTGAGAGATGTAGAAGTTCCACAGGGAAAAACAAAATAAGGATTCATGGAAAACTTGGTAATGCGTGAAAAAAGTCTCTTCCTCCAAGTTATTTGCATCATCCACCTTGTCGAAAGCCTATATTGAGCGTGTGGATTTAAATCATTGGGGCATTTTTGCCTTTGCCAACTCTCTGATGCTGTAGCAGTCTCCTGGATGAAGTTTTCTTAGTTGGCCTGATGGGATTCCTCTTGATGGGAGGAATCCTCTCAATCTGGCCATATTGTGAGCAACAATCAAGGAGAATGGGCTGGGGAAAATATAGAGGGATGCATAAAGGAGGACTTTTTCCTCGCGAATCTTGGTAGGCTGAAAGTTCAATGAATATACAGAAATAAACAAAAAAAAATCAAAAAGCCAAAACAATGGAATACAAAGAGAGGAACTCATGATCCCCATGGAGATCCATGAATCAAAATCAAATTAAATTTGTCAAGTGACTCCTAAGTGAAGAAATGATTTCATTTCATGTGAATCAGAATCAACATAAACTTAGCTCAAAATTAATAGATAAATCACAGTTTATATGAACTACTAGTTACACATCAAAGAGCAGATGCACATCTCATGCAGTTACTAGATAGACCACTGCTTGTCAGGTACTGATTTCAGCCAAGCAGTTTATTCGAGCTTAATGCTTGCCTGGCACAAATCTGGTCCTTCTCCTTTAAGGAGGAGCCATTGGATAAGTCCTGCAGCAGGGTTCCATCCATAAAATCTTCCATGATTAACTCTCAGCTCCCATCTGTCACGGTAGCTTGGATCTATGTGACCCGCCTTTATATCTGCAGAACGTGACTAATTTTGGGCAGTCAGTTATTCGTAATAAACAGTGGGAGCAGTCTTAAATGTGTTTTACAAGCACTTTGGATTCCAGTTGTCCTATCTGACTTGCTAACTCCTCTCTATAGTTCTTTCATTTAGCATTTGTTTGTCTGCTGCACAGTCACCTCATTTTAACGTCCATCCTGATAGCTTCTAGATCAATGGTCTCTAGGTCTCATGGAGAATCATTTATAAGTTTGCTGACATCCTTTTCAGATGCTTTTAAGAATTATAAATCCTCCACAATGACCAATTGTGAACCATTTCAACAAAGCCTTGTGGAACATTTTAGCTATAATCACAGAGTTATAGAACCCTTTTGTCTTCATTATTATTAGAGTTTCATTTTATATTTGACAAATTTTATTGAATTGTTATTTGGGATGTGCTGCATGTATTTAATAAAGTATGATTGAAGACTATCTTTTGGGAAATGGAATTCAGCCCAGCACAGTGCAAAGTAATGCACTTCAAGAGCTGAGAAGGCAAGGGATTATACTCTGAATGGTAAGGACCCTGGAAACTACTGATGATCAGAAGGAGATATTAAGAACTGCTGATGCTGGAGTCAGAGATAACAGTGTGGAGCTGGAGGAACACAGCAGGCCAGACAGCATCAGAGGAGCAGGAAAGTTGACATTTCGGGTCGCAACCCTTCTGCAGAAATGCGGGAGCTTATTTGATGGGGTGTGTTGCGGGCAGGAGAAGGGATCTGTAGAGGGTGGGTTAGATTCCAGGTTAAAGAAATAGGCGCGGATGCAGAGGTTTTTTGATGGGGTGTGATGATCAGGACATTAGTGTGTATATCCACAAATCTCTGAAGGTAGTAGGGCAGGTGCATAAAGTTATCAGAAGGTACTTGCCTTTATGAGCTGAAGAATAGAATACAAATGTAGGGACGTTAGACTGAAATTGTATAAAATGCTGGCTCATCATAAATGGGAGTACCTTGTGCAGTTCTGAACACCAAAGTATAGGAATAATGTGATTTTACTAGAGAGGGTGCAGAGGAGATTTACCGGGATATTGTGTGAGCTGGAGGGCGTGAGCAACGGAGGAAACGTTTGATGGGCTAGAGGTATGTAGCGAGGTACCTCTGTACCTAAGATGGCACTGGAAATGGTGACATTCTAAAGTTTTCACTGTACTCATATACTACTGTACTTAAGTACACATGACAATAAAATCCAAATATAATTTTTTTTAACAAAAGAGAAGCTAAACTTATGAGGGACATATGAGGCTACAAGACATTTTGTCCATTAGTAGAGAGGTCACTAATGGACAAATTGTCTTGGACCAGGGACCATGTATTTAAAGTGAACAGGTAGAAATCCAAGAAGAGACTTGAAGTGAAATTTTTCACCCAGAGGGTAGTGAGAGACTGGAATTTGCTGCCTGAAAGAATGTCGCGTCAGAAATTTTCATAACATTTAGGTAATAGTTAGATATTCATTTGCTTTTTCCACATTCTGCAGGACTATGGAGCAAAAGCTGGAACATAGGATTAGTGCAGTCAGATTGCATTGTGTTGGTCATCGACAATGAGGTAAGTTACCTTTTTCTGTGCTGTAAATGTCTGAATCTCAGTCTATGACTAGGCAACAAATGCTGTCCTTGTCAACAGTGCCCACATCCCATGAAAGAAAAGTGAAAAAAAAGTCAAATTTTCTCCAGATAATTAATCATGTATTTTATGTGGATGTGAAATAAGATATGTAGATGCTGCTGTGCTTTTTTGTCACCTGTTTTGATGGGTATACTATCAACCTATTTTCAATTTATTGATATGACCTCAGTGTCCACTGACCACTCAATCATTGTCAATGCATTACAAATCTCTCTGCTAGTTCCAATAAAGATGGATTACTGTCTGTTTAACTGAATTTTTTTTCTATTCATTTGTGGGATGTGGGTGTCGCTGGCTGGCCAGCATTTCTTGCCCATCCCTAGTTGCCCTCGAGAAGGTGGTGGTGAACTGCCTTCTTTGATTTGTTTTAACCTTTTTTTATTCTTGTAAATGATTTTGGTCTCATTAAATATCAAGATCTGAATACTGTCTTGTTTCTTTTGGGAGAACCAACGTTGCCATTGTTGATTATTTCTTCCCTTACAAGCAAGGGTGTAATCATACACAATATTTTCCACTTGTACGCATTCTCATCTTTAAGTTCATTTAATGCTATTCTCTGTTGCTGTTGTTCAGTTGGAAGGACTTTTTACTGTCATGTATCATCTTTTTAGATATCTCTGTAGGCCTCCCTGTCCCTCAGAGCAATCTTTTATCTTTTGCTATATCAAAGTCAAAGTCTTAAGTGTGCTGCTTACATACAAGGTAAATGTCACATGGAAAATTTGCATAAATGTTTAAATTATTTGATGTCAAATGAAGTGGAGTCTCTGGTAATGTCCTTTGTGAGTGAAAAGGTAGAGATCCTCTTCAGATATTTGTGAATCAAGTCCATGTACTTCAAAAATCTTAGTACATTTCTAAAGCTTTCATCAAATAAATTTAAAGAGTTGCTGTAAGGATATTTTAGTACCATGTTTTATCTCTACAGGCAGCTCTGCTCCTCTGATCAACCTTTACTATCAAACAACTAAGAATATAAAGAACATGACTGTTGCTGAAAAAGACACACTTAGGAGATTTTCATCTTGCACACACGAGGCATTCACGAGAATACCAATGTAAAGTGAAACAATATTTTATAGTAGTGAGAGTAGACAGCTGATTGGTTGAGGGACTGCTTTGAAGAATGCACCATTTTAGATCATGGCTGACAGCTAAATGCCAAGCTTTGTTTAAATTTGATTTAGACAGGCTGACTCTGGTTGTTCCAGGCATTGCCCTGAGGGATGAACCAGAAAATGGATCTGACCTATCTTGATAAGTTGAAGCAGGTGTAATGCATGTGTTCTTTCTGTCTCCAAACAGGACCTTGTTTATCATCATATGTAGCATGTAGTTTATGGCAGTGCACAACTCTGTGAGCCAACTGACAATCTTAAACTGGTTATCAGCGTAATTCTTAGCATACTCAAGATGATTTAGCAATAACCACAGAAGCACATCTAATGTTGGACACTTGTGATTTGAATTTTGCAAGCATAGACTAGTTAGGTGAGATCAGTATCTTGCCTGATATGAACAGGTGAAGGGACATACTGTTTAATGTGATCCATTCAGTGTTTGGGACATATGGGCTATTGATATCTGCTCAACAATGGAACTAATTTACAACAAGTCATTTCTGTGACAATCAATGCCTTTTTAGCTTGACGGCAACGTCATATTAGTGGCAAACATCATGTGTGCTGCTACTGCTGCAAGAAATCTGCAGGGGTTTTGTATTGTATACTGTAAGTGTATTTTCACTGGTCAATATATGGATTAGAATTGTTACAGTTCTACACATTCTAAGATTAGTCTTATTGGCAATCTTGTTTTTGGTGTCCAAGTTATGTGCCCAAAGTGCAAGCAAATATGGCATATAAAAGCAAATGTCATCCTGAGACAGAGTGGCTACGTCAATCAGATAATTTTTTGCTGTAGTTCTGGCTGACACTGAAGAAGCACATTGGATCTAGAGCAACATTTTTCCAGGGGTCACTCCACAAAATAAAAATAGTTTTTCTAGTTACGAAATAGGCAAGCTACTTACCTTATCTATGATCAGCTTTTGAATAAAAGATCTGTCGGCTAATGTTCTTAAACACAATAATTGGTCTTTCAAAAAAAAAATTATTCAAAGAAGATACAACAGTTGGTTCTATGCTTAGTGGCAAGTGGCACAGGGAGTAATCTGCAG